CTCTTTCGAACACATTGTAAAAAATATGCATATTAAAAACTTCAAAAGTGGCAAAAAACATGACGTCATCACTGTGACGTCACAACTTTGACATTTACTAACATTTGTCACGTAAATATAATTGGCAATAGGTCACCTGATCACCTGCCAAGTTTGGTGTAGAAAGAGTCAATACTTTTTAAGTAATGCGAAATAATGTGAAATACCCAAGAACTGACGAAACATTTGGGGGGTGGTTTGGCCCCTACGTGTATATAGACTCGAAACTACACTTAGGAAGACAGAAGGAATTGTCGTGTCACGGCCATCCCTCTGATTTCTTTTCACACGCGTTGGCTGCATTTACCATCACTAGGAGACGTGAAATGCAAGAAAAGTTCTCTCGCCAGGGGTAGCCCCGGTATGGTGACCTTCGTGCAGGGACAACTTTGCTTCCTAAACAGATCTTAAAAGTTCAGGCTACTTAGCGTTCGTTAATAAATGTAGGTTTGACCAGTGGTCAAGAATATTGCTTTTCTCGTTTTTCGAGTCCCATTTGTGACTTCCGTTTGAGATAACACCTCAGTCACCTCACCTCAGTATTTAAAGTGAAGGTAGTCGAAAGGCAGGGTCAATTTTAACGGAAACTCCATTACAATTTTCTTTTCAGTGGCCCTGGTGTACCAGCCCCTCTCGACGACCCAATGGCGGCATCACTCAGCCCTAGTCCCCCTGTAGAGCCCTCCAAACCAAGCTCCAAGTTGTCCTGTGGGGCCTGTGTGGATTATTTTTGCGCATGCAACACTACAAAGTTTAGGTGGTACGAGTTAGAAGGAAAAGGTACGTACTCGAGAAGTCGACAGGGATTGAACGTTTCTTGAGCCCTGATGAATAGTCCAGGTTTCAAGAAGCTACCATAGCCCTTGCTTGTTTGAAAAATGACTGACATTACTTCAATGTGATTGGTTGAGCGTGGGCGAAGTTATCGCTTATTTTTAATTTGCACTTAATTTACGCCGTTCGGATTTTCCCTGTCATATAATAAATATGTAATCGTGCGAAAACTGGAGCAATTTTAAGGATTTACATCTCTCGTGATATTTGAAAATTCTTTAAAATTGCACTCGCCTAAAGACTCGTGCAATTTTGAGACAATTTTCAAAATTCACTCGTAGCGTAAATCCTTTTAAAATTGCACTCGCATTCTTACGATTACCTACGCTAAACTATTTAATAACTTGGGAGACAAAGGTCTATTTCTGTGTAATCGCTTATTAAGTTGTATTTCCGGTCAAGCAATCTCGCACTAAGAACCCACATCTGCCTTGATCAGCATTCGAGATTTCTGACTGCCGGTCAAGATAGACGCGGGCTCAGTATGCGATTGCCTGCGATTCGACCCGAGAAAATTCCCTATTGATGACGTAACTATACAGAGGTCTGTTTCTTGTCCCTGATTGGTTGTTGTCCGGTTTTGAATTTTCCGCGCAGTAACGACCGATTAGAGGACACTATAGTGATCTCTTCATTTGAAAAGTGGAAATTTGCTCCATTTGCACCAAAACTGGGAGAAACTCTTGCAGAAGTTTGATCAATTGAAATAACGTATCTTGTTGAACTCGAGATTAAGTTATGATTTCTAAATATATATTTATTTTTGCTTCATTTTCAGGTTGTTGCTGCATCCTCTTGCTTCTTTTGTTATACCTGGTTGTCGGAGTTATTTTACTCCCCTTTGCAATCCTCTGCTGCTGTTTTTTATCAAATAGAAACGGATTTAAAACGTAGATATACCTGTCGACGCCTGGTGAATTAAGATTTCCGATGGTAGTGTTCCCCTTTCAGCTCTTTGCCAACAATTGGAAACTTCATACTTTATCTCAGGAAATGTAGAATTACAAAATGCGCTATTGCCTGATCAGCAGACTTTACCTGATCTAAAACTAGAAGGCAACACAGATTACATTGGATCTAAACTAATGTTAGAGAATCGAGGATTATAGAACGTGAGTCTGTCAGTGTAAGTCCTTAACAGCTTTTTACTCCGGGATTCTAGTAAGGAGAGAATCCCGCGGAAACTTCCATATAAAAAGGCCGGGAGTGCTCGTCGAAAATTTTGAAAAGATCCTGCTTTGTGGGCGTGGCTTGAATTTTCTTTCATCCCTAAGAGGTAACAATTCTAAAACGACACATTATCTTCTGTCGTATTTTTTCGGCTCAATACCCTAAAAGGTAGCGCAAAAGCTCTCCCTGTGGACCTTTTGAGACCCTAAGAGGTATTAAAACCGCTTTTTTAATCCTAAAAGGCACGACATACGCCCCCGTTCTTTTTAAATGAAAGTTCCTCCCGGGAAGAGAATCAAATGGCTGAAAAGAAGGTACTCAGATGTAAACCCTGAAGGTACTCAGCTGGTTAAGTAGAGCAAACGATAATCAACCAATAAAAACTTTGAAAATCATAAACGTTTGTAAGCAAGGGTTAACCTTGGATCAATTTAAGGGAAATAGTAGCCAAGGTCGCGATTAAAATGCAAACATTTACGGCAGAAACACTTATTGACCGCACTCTAGAACAAACAAAGAGGCGTCCAAGAATAAGGTAAAACAACTCTGTGATCTAATCTAAAACCGGAACCTCAACCTCAAAGAATTTAAGAGTTTACACGAAGGGACTGGTCGCAGGGACTTGTCCCACGAACGGTTCACACGAAACGTTTTGAGGAACAAGTCGCAGGGACTTGTTCCAAAAATTCAAACCAGTTTCAATTCGTGAGACTAGTGGTAGGGACCAAATTTAGGTCCCTGCGACTAGATTTTGTGACAAAAATGGCCAGTTCACACGATTGGACTTGTCCCCGCCACTTGTTGCAGGGACTAGTCGCACGGACAAGTCCCCTCTTGTGTGCCGACCTTGGCATTACAGAAATGCGCAGTATTTAATAATTAACTCGTACTTCAACGTGCATCTTTGCATGCGCGCTAACGTACACTTGATAACGTTGGGAGACTGGGAAAGAAACTGAGAACTGAGATCACCAAGCTACGCTTAGCTGCAAGACGCTTTGGAAATTGGAAATTAACAACAGCGGACCGGGACGCGGAAAGCCATGTTAAGTGTTCGAGAAGAGCGTACTGTTGTAGGAGGAGTCGAGCTGGCGAGGAAGACAGTAATAGCTGCTACGGACGAAGGGTTAGTGCCATACCTCGATGTTAAAGTCTTCTTTAGTCCCCGTAAAGATCAGTGATTCATATTGCGACAAGTAACGGGCTTGGATTGATGAGACAAAAGATGACAAACCTCCGTTTTTGCACTTCTGTTCATAGCACGTTACCAAGTTTCTGACCAAATAAGTTACCTGGCTGCAATTGTAAACACTATAGTGACCAAGTACACGTATCGGTTGATGAACACTGGATCACGCAGTCATACAACTGCTATTATAATTCAAAAACACGGAAGTGGTGACTTGGTAATTGAGCGATGTTTATGACACGCAAGGTTTTCGGCCTAATGAGAAGTGGAGATATCTAACATATGTCATTATAGCTATCATATCTTAACTTTCGTCTTACTGTTTTATTAGTAATTTGCGAAACGCTATGAAACTTCAGTAAATTCCAGCATAAAATTGCGGATTGTTGTCGTAATAGACGCCCTATTTCGGAATTTAGGTCGCGACCGATAGCGCACGTTTATCAGCGCATTCATTTGAACGCCAAACAGAGGTCTAACGGCTCGGCGAAGTTGAGATGCTTAACACATATCGTTATGGCCATCACATCTTAACTTTAATCTGACTGTTTAATCATTGATTTGCGAAATACCATTAAACTTCAGTAAATTCCAGCATACAATGGGGCCATTGTTGTCGAGATAGACACCCTCTTTTGCAATCAGGTCGGGAATAATCGCGCCGCGTCAAATCAATATTACGCGTAATTTTAAGAACGCCAACGTCCAACGGCTATGGGTCTGTGCATTCTACTTCCTTCTATTTTCGATGACTTCTAGTCTCAGCGAGGGTTTAGTTCATGATCATTTTATGATTTGGGATGAGAAATCAAACGCAAAAAACTCCAAATAGTTCGACTAATTAATTATATATGTGCTTATTAAGATCTAATAAATACTTAGAAGTTTATGAAATCTAATGGTTTGATAATTATGAGCTTTACCAAGACTCAGCTCTGGCGTTGATCAAACTCTTTATGACTTTATCTTGCCGAAACAGTGCACTTTCTGCGGAATACATGGAGTATTTTCAAGGTTAAGTTCACATATTTGTGTAAAGCTGATCATATGATTTCCATTGCAATTTGAAATAAATAAGCACGAGTAAATTTTACAAAGGCTAACAAAATTGTGCGAGCTCGTAGGGCGAGTGAAATTTTCAAGTGCTTCTTTACTGTAAATTTCGACCTTAAATTTTTTCTCTTTTTCCCGTTTGTCACTCAAGAGCGTTTTAATTATTCACCTTTTTTCCTTTGACTTTACTAACATCGGCTAGCTGAAAAATGCCGACAATACTTACAAATCGAAGGGAACGTAACGACGAATTTCTAAGTCACAAATGGACTAATTTACCAGTAAATACGACGAATTTCTAAGTTACGAATGGACTTATTTCCCAGTAAATACTAATAAGAAGCTATTCGATTTCTACTGAATTTAGTTACTAATTAGTGTCAATTAACTTCAAGTCTGTGCTTAACAAACCTACTGAAGTTCATGAATTTGACCTCCCTTGCATGTTGGCGACTCGCGATATCAGCTTATAGCTAGATGTCCACGCAAATGACAAACTTGAGACTTCTTTTCATTTTTTTGTCAGAATTGTTGCCACAGAAATTATTGAGAGGAGGGAGCATACTGGAATCGACTTGCCTGGGAGGTAATGTGTAGATATTCCTTTATTCGCTCTTGTACTTTACAAACAATAATTTGGTACGTTTTAAATCTTTTGCAACTTAACATTACTATTCTCTGCGAGGGGGAGATCTCTCCTTGTGTTTTCTCGTTAAAATGTTCACTCATCTCAGGGCTTACTTGAGGACAAGTTACCACAATGCCTAGAAGCTAAAGGAATGTCGAAATTTCTTTTTATGGGGTATATCCTGAAAACAAATAGAGATTTATACAGTGTATCTTTTTTCGTAGGCAAATGGAACTAAATGGCGTAGGCTCTTTCGAATTTCTATACGAGTGGCGCCGGTTCGAATTCGTCGGTTGTTGAGTTGCATTCTTCATTCTGCAAACGTTCGGCAAAGTATTCCCGACAAAATACAAACAAAAACCGATCGATCACGCTTATTTCTCTGACTGAGAAAACATAAACTTTTTGCCCAACCTCTCTCCCCAAGTACATTCTATTTCACCACTGCGAGGTCTTGCGGAATATCTGCGTTATTATATCTTTTTAAAGTTTGTTCATGTTGTAGTCCATTGCCATCCTTGCCATCTCCTATTAGACGAACCAAGGGCGGATGTAGGGGGGATGGATTGAGTGGCTAGCCAACCTCCTTTTGGAGAAGCAAAAACAGAAAAAGAATTGAAAAAGTTTGTGAATATTATGGCAGAAATAAAGGCAAACTCTCTGGACGGGTTTAAAAATTGAGTTAATGTAGTCAGGAGATGACATAGTCGATAAAAGTGCCGGTTTTTTTTTGTCACTGACTTGTATATTTTAGAAAATACAATATACAAAACTTGTACTTGTACTTGTATATATAAAAAATATACAAGTCAGTGACAAAAAGCGGCACTTTTATCGTCATCTCCTGACAACATTTACTCAGTTTTTAAACTTGTCAAAAGAGTTTGCCTTCATTTCTGCCATGATATTCACAAACGTTTTCAATTCTTTTTCTGTCACTGGACAGGTACCTTATTGTAATTCAGTCTACTTTGTGGCATTGCAAGTATTTCTTGGGGGAACGGATTTCAGTTAAATTCCAATCCAAATTTTGGGAACATACCCCATTCCCTCACCCCCATCGCTTGCCGATGAAATTTGTTTTGGCTAGTAATGATATTTTACTAATTTTCGATTTCCTTTTCAGCGTTCCGGCAGCTGTGGCACCAAGGTAAATCCTCTGTTACGTTTCATCTTGCTACAACTTTAAGCTGATTTTTTTTAAAGCGATTATTCTAGCAACAGTTATAAACATTAGGCTCCAAGCCACCATCTAGGTCTTGCATTTCGCTGACTGGGGACTGAGAACGATATGTCTAGCCGTCTCTTATTTTCTTCCCACGTTGTCTCGTTCCCAAATCTCTTTCGACATTTGTACGGAAACAGGAAACTGAAGTGAAACACCTATTTATGATTCACCAGTGATGTCAATTTTTTAGAATTTAATAAAGTATGATTTGAGTTCATATTGATTGAGAAATTAGTTCACATAATTTCATGAAATTACAAACCCTAAAGGAGACAATTATTATTATCATCATAAGATCTTATAACAAAATGGTTAACCAGATCGACAGTCGGAATTTAAGCCATGTCCTCGAATCGTACACTTCCAAGAGAAACGACGATGTCTCGGATCACGAGAGTGTACAATCCGAGGGGACAGTTGCAATTCAGTCAAATCAAAGTCCTGCTATTTAAAATCACTGCTAATTTCTCTAGCCTAGGTTATCGGTCATCTTTCTTTGCGCCCTGTTCGAGAGTCGTCTGGCTTTAAACCTGAAAAAATCTCGCTATAATGGCGGTCATAGGATAAAAGTAGTCAAAAAATTGAAAATAGAAACGTCCTTTTTACGAGGGTTGCCATAACTACAATAGTGGAAGACTTTCTGACATACTGCAAAATAATTTTACCAATTTTTAGCGCGCCTCTTGCACTACCTTGCCCGCCTCAACCTATCACAGTAAAAGACTCTCCACCGTCGTCCAGTGAGTTTTCCTGGGTGGACTGTTGCTTTAGGTGTGACAGCGGTCACGAGTGGTACGAACTACAAGGAAAAGGTAAGAAGTTGAGAGAGGTTGCTTAAAAATAATCCCATCTGTAAAAGGGCTAGTAACACTAGTCACGGTAGTACTTTTTTCTTAACGTTAGCTCATGTCAGTTCATCCAAGACAACACTAATTCACGCTGGCTCACGTACGATAGCGCTAGCTCAAGTTGTGTCGTCTACTGCTGATTTTTTTTTGCTAAAATGCACTGGTAATGCAGTAAAAATCAAACAATCCACTGGAAACCTGATCTGTTAAGGTACAACACAACGTACGAAGAAGCCCCCAGAAATGAAACGAATAAGAGATAGAAAGAAATTACCTTGGATATTGTACGATTTACCGTAAAATGGAAGATCGTTTTCCATGTTATCTAAGAATATAAGTTCTAAAAAAACTGCTTGCTAGCTAACCAAGACGATAGCAACAACAACCAAGACTTGGTTCAAATGTCAATGCCACTATATTTAATATGGGAGACAAGTGAATGCGCGGCACTAAAAGACTCCGTTCGGGTCAGGGGCCTGTTTCTCGAAAGTTCCGGAAACTTTTTGGACCCGCAAAACCATTTTTAGCTAATCTGTACCTAAAAACAGACAGGTGTATACGCCCGAAACTCCTTGTATGAAGAGAACCTCTGTTCATATTAAGAACATGTGAATAAAGCAGCTCAACGGATTTCCGGGTGCGAAAACTTTTCGGGACCTTCGTGAAACGTGCCCCACCACTGAGTTGAGCTCAAAGCCTCTGATTGTTGTTTAGGATATGGGCGTTTATTTGAGGGTGGCGCTTTTTCCAGTAAATACTTACTTAACTGGAAAAAACCGAAACAGAATGCATATCGTTTATGTTGGGATAAGGAATGAGTGTAGAAATTTAATTTACTTACAGGGATGATCGGATCTTTAAGCAATGTTTTAGCTGAATTTTATTATTAGTTTCCAGGTTTTTGTCTTGGTCTGCTACTACTGTTGGGTTATTTGATTGCTGGAGTAGTTATTCTCGCGTTTTACCTGGCATTTTGTTTCATTACGTGCCTTTCCAATTCCGACTGCGACTGATGTTTTCTTACTAAGCTCAGTGTGTTATGTATATTGGCGGATCTGTAAGGTTTAAGGGGTGAACCGTGACTTGTATAATAGTTACAGGAGTTAGTAATAGTAACTGGACCGACGGGAGTACAATTCAGGGAGTAATCTGGAGAGTAATTTTAAAATCGAATAGGCACGTACGCCAGGTCGGTCTGAAGTGCTTGAATTGTACGAGAAGAAGTCCAGTTAGTAATTAATCGTATCACTGACACATTTTGAGATGACCAGTCTTAAAAGTGCCTATGAAATGAAAAATAATTGCTGCTTATTTGAAAGGCTTTTCAAATCAGGTTTTTGACAGAAAGAGACTGGAGCCAAGAGTGTTGTCACAGTAAAGGCACAATGGATTTCATTTGGTTTATTTTGTGACGTACATTTCTGGTGCCAAGTTTGAAGAACACCGGTCAAATACTTCTAGAGATATCCTTGATTCAATGTTTTCCTGTTTAAGTGGAACTACTTATGACGTCACCACTTTCCTCATTTGCATAATACAAAAATGCCAGTACGTGTTTCTAAAACGAGAGACGATGAAAAGAAAACCTTTCAAATAAGCAGCAATTATTTTTCACTTCATAGGCACTTTAAGAAGTTCAGTAGGATTTTGCTTAAGTTTTACAAACGGTAACGCACATAATTGACGAGCGAATTGTATAGGTGTCCAATTAATTGGACACCTATACAATATACTGGTAATTAGTCACCCAAGTGATCGCGTGTCAGTACGTAGACAAATAGGCGCAAGGAAAACCAATCATAATCTAGAATTTATAGATATGACTAGCTTTACTACCATAGTGGACAAAAAAGTGTTGTTAGAAATTGTTGTTAGAAGTGTTGTTAGAAATGTTAGTAGGTTGAATATTATTTGAGCAAGTAAACACAGTTGGCACTCAATGAAACGCCTCTTATCTCAGTGATTACATTTCTTCGTAATCCTTCGCTTATATGAAACTTAAAACAAGATTGCTTTGTGAAACTGGATTAGCAAATAGTTGTAACCATATAAAGTGCGCGCTAAACGTTGTACTTTTAAATTGGTATTGAAAGGTCCACTTCTTGTTTGTAGCGTATTGTTTAAGCAGACACCTTCAGTAAATCTACTTTTTTGAACACCTCCTCCGCCTGCGCTGCAGCGTTTTGAGTGTTTAGGTGGTGGTGAGGGGGNGGGGAAGCTTGAGTACGAATGCCTAAGCGTGATCCATGTAGGCGTTCCTGGAGCATGCTCCCCCTTAAGTCCTCTGAAATGACAGGAAGGACTTTTGTAATCAATTAGCGTATTGCTATACAGTTGCATACTTTCAGCACTTACAAAAAAATGATGATTTTTCTACACAACAGTATAGAAATTTATTATCCGCACTTTAATTTCGCTTTCAAATCCCAGGTGAAGCGAACGATTTATTCCACTGAATTTAACGTTTAATGGACAATGGATCTAACAGGTTTCTCTCAACAACATTCATCTTCAATCAAAACGGAAACAAACAAATGCGGCAAATCAAAACTACGAGTCATTGAGGCAATGTATTTTCCTTAGCAGTCTAGTCTTTTCACAGGATATGATTGTTCTCCAGTCCTCCTTGCATAGTGTATGCATTCTCCTCTTCACCGAGTTTTTTTTGTAAAATTGCATCAAAGAATGAGTTGAAATTTAAGTCGTTTTATATCTTCTCCAGGACAGAAACAATCAGTTTATCACCTACGTTCATTTGTGCTGGGCACCCAATAATCCGTCTACATATATCCGACTGAAGATTCCCCGTCAAACTTTGGCTCTTGATTTTCAGGTTTACTTAAGAACTGAAAAAGAATGAGTGGGAGGGGGAGGGGGTTGATTAAGCCCCCAGCCCCTCCCCCTGCGCGGTCCCTGTAAGCGTTAGGTTGTCCGAAACTTTTTAACCCGCTGGTCATGCATCAATGACATTGCTAAGGACTGTACAACAGATCTGACGCGTGATCGCTTTGTAAGTAATTCGCGGGAGTTCGTGGATTACATGATCAGCAACAAAAGATACAAAAACACCTCAGGTGCTCAGCGAAGAACAAGACCAAACTGAATGAGACAATGAACAGCGGACAAGAAGGCCTGATGGCTGTCCGAGAAGAACGTGTCAGGGAAGGAGGAATTGAAAAGACCAGCACAACATTTGTAGCCGCAACCGATGAAGGGTTAGTTTACCACCTCACTTGTGCTGCTTATTACATGTTGCAATTATCACAGCATCTCATTTGTTTCTTCATATCTAAACCTTGGTACACAAGTGCTGTTTCCTATAAAGTTAGATGTGATAATTCGACAGCTTTTTAAAAGCTAAGATGTTTACATGGCGCGAGTCGGTCTGTGATTCTAGACACCCTGTCGGATTCGGTGAAAAACGGAAGTAGCTCATGTTACAATGAAATCGCGTCTCATTGCAGATTACTCTTAACACAAGAATCACTGCGCGTTTATGTTCTTGTTCAACTTGACAGAACGTTTATTAAAAACCACCTTCATGCATCCGCATTCTTACAAATGAACATTGATTTTTTTAAAGAAAAACTGATCAAAATTCCAAAATACCACCCAATTCCAAGAGTGAAGAATAGTGGAGTGACGGTAATTCCACTCCTTCATGCTGTTATCCGAAACAACGAAAATAATGTACAACACACCAACAAAACATTAAGCTTATTGCCCTCTTTGGAGCACAACTCTCTAAGCTGGGACAGCACAGAATCAGTCCTCAGTCTTGGAAGTCATTATCTCCTTAAATGTGGCTTGACGAATCCAAATGACTTCTGTTCAGGAGAAATTGGAATAATAACAGCAGCATCAACCATAACAATGGAAAGTCATCTCGGAAAGGCTTAGAGAGAACAACAAGAATTATACAAGATTAGCACGAGCTGTTGACGTAATGATGGCGCAAGCAAGGAGAATTTACATTTTGATGATCGAAGTAAACAAGTTGTTTTTCTTTTTTTCGTCGCGGTAATTTCTAAAAGAAATAGAAAACATGTTCTCTGTATTTCTAACGAGTTTTCGTATAAATCTACTGGCGTTCTATGCCGTTCTTTGATTAGCCACACTACTCACTATCTATTCTGTGATAGGTAGTGAGTAGTGTAGCAGTGTGCCCTTGTTACCAAAATGACGGCCGCTTCTTGATCTTTTCGAAGTGTCTGTGAAGAGGATTTAGCTAAAGTTTTGAACGACTAGTGGATTTATACTAAAACAATTACATCATTCGCTCTCGATTTCTATTCGTGATATGTTGACGAGGACACAGACCACGTCAACTATCACGCATTATAGTTCCCCTCTAAATATTCTCCGATTCTTATTGGTTTAAATTGGTCACGTGACGCGATAGTGTTCATCCGCGGAGAGACACCATCAGCCCATACTGCCCGTCTGAGGAAAATACCCGGATGAATAGTACTCGTCCGTGAAAATATTTCTGTAAACAAGCGGGCTTATAGAAAATAAACAATTGAATTTGTATTAAGAGGGTTTTTGTTTGTTATGTTTTTCAAATTTTACATTTGGCTTTCGCGGCTTTCATCTAAAGAAGTTGAAAATTATTCAACTGATGATTTTTGAACAGGCGCACGGAAGAAAATTTAGTGGTGAACAATAAAGACAATAGAGAGTTTATGTCTAGAAACTATCGGTCTGATAGTTGCCCCTTGGAAATTTGATGTTCTTAAAACTAGCATATTTGCCCTCGAAGCTTCGCTTCTCGGGTAAATATTTGTTTTAAGAATATCAAATTTTCGCTGGGCAACTATCAGGCGATAGTTCCTCCCCAGAAACACTCTAATGTTTAAATAGAAATCGAGAGCTCATAGTCTAATTACTTGATAGACACACTCGTGAAAGTTTGGGAGAACTCGGAAAAGTTGTGGAAACACTCACCTGCGGCTCGTGTTCCCACAGCATTTCTCGTTCTCCCAAACTTCCACTCGATCGTGTCTCTATAACTCGATAGAAACACGGTACATGTTTTCTATTTCTTAAATATAGTCCATGTTTTAATTATTCTCTAAAATGTTTGGCAACTTTTCTAATGTTTATATTTCTTAACTTAATATATTGTCTTCGGTATGTAATGTATATGCTCAATTTCTATACGTGCTTAGGTTTCAGAAATGTATAGATTTTCTGTTGAGATGCTCTGTTATTGTTTTTATTTAATTTGATGAAATGTTAAACGTGTGTTCGCCAAACGCTTCAGTTAAACATCGTCTTTTTCTTCGTCTTTTGGTTTTAGTGTCTCTACACTTCACTACACACAAATCAATACTGCAGGGGCAAGGTAGGTTGTTTGAGTCACTCATCAGTTGTCTTGCTCAGCTTAGTTAAATTGCAGCAAACTGGGATAGGCTAATTTGATAACATTTTGACTAAATTAATTGTCAGTATTGTAATAGTACAGACTCATAAAAACTGATAGTAGTTTGTTTGTTATTTCAGTAACAAAAAAGCAAGTAGACTTGAACGAGAGAATCTGAATTTAATATAATTTCGTCAAATCAGGAAACGATGCGAAAATCAAGGCGTCAAAGTTAAATCCAAATACAAGATTTCTATTGCAAGCATTTCTTTCATTTGAATTCTAAAAATCCGTTCGCTTCACTTGTATCAACAGTTTCAACACGATTCCATAGTTAAAGTCAATCTTTGTCAGCTGAATTCAAAGACAATCAAAGAATATTAATTTAACATGTACTGTATTAGTATAAGTCTACTAGCGTTCTATCACAGCTTATCACGAATGCCGTTCTCTGATTGGCTACCCTACTCACTATGTATTCTGTGATAGATAGTGGGTAGCGTAGCAGTGTGCCCTTGTTAACAAAATGACGCCCGCTTTTTTAGGTTTTCGAAGTGTCTGTGAGGAGGATTTGGATAAAGTATTGAACGACTAGTAGATTTATACTAAAACAATTAGATTATTCGCTCTCGATTTCTGTGCATGATCGTCAACTATCGATATAAATCTCGAGCTCATAATCTAATTGTTAAGTTTAACACAAAGTATTTTGTGGATTTTCAGCGGCGTTTTTCAGCCTACTGTGCCAAGGATGGAAGCCTGGCTTCCTCACCCAGCGCCAATAGCACCTCCAGGTATCCTTCCTTCTGCGCCCCAGCTTGAATCTGATGCGCGAAAGAAAAGCTGTTCAAACTGCCTCGAGAACTTTTGTTGTTTGTATGACACTAATTCCAAGTGGTATGAGTTCTCAGGGAAAGGTAGGAACTATTCCAATTTTTCTTCATCAAATTGAAGGGTTTTCAGTAGTTTATTTTCAGTAATGTATTATTCTATAATGTATTTCTGTTCTACCAGCTGGTTGCCACGCAGCACATGTTCTTTTTATTCTTTCCATAGCCATATGCAACAAATATTTCTTTATTTTATAATACTGATGTAAATTAACTCTGTAAATAGTGCACAATAATAAAGAAGTTGAAGTTTGAAGTTATTTCATTGACTGCCCCGATAACTTCAAGGGGCAGCCTCTAAAACCTGCGCCACAACTTGTTTCGGCCAAGACTGGACATTTGTTTGATAGAGCTGTATGTAGAATTAGCAGTGGTAGAATGAATCTGTCAAAGACGGGTTAAAGTGCTGGAAAGTGGCGGAAGCCATTGCTAACCCGGCCTTGAATCAAAATATGACCAACTGGGGTATTAAGGTATTGAGATGTAAAGCTAATCCAAAGCGGCATTCTGTTGTTTAAAATTTCATGTTTTATTTTTCAGGTTTTTGGTGTGTGCTGTTCCTTCTGGTGGGATATTTGATTGTCGGAGTTATTGTGTTCGCATTGGCGATCCTTTACTTTGTCTGTAAAGTCATGGAAGCACTGGATTCAAGAGCTAACTCGAGTAGACGCTCGAGCACAAGCTCGTGCTCGTGTTGATGCAGCTGTTATGGATGTCAGACGTGACTAAAGAACAACTTAAGTCAATTTGTTGCAGAGACATCATAAGTGCTATCCAGTATTGTCAGGAATAATAAATGTAGGATGACTAACAAAGGATGAACCTGAAACTAGACTTCATATATTTTAGATTTGAAAAGCTATCGATTGATGTCTTTAACCCACAGGAAGAAACAGCGACAACAGAACTAAGAAAGAGTTCACTGACTCAGAAAGCTCGACTTGTTACCAGCCTGATCTTAACTGAATCAAATTTTGTTCAACCTTGAGCCAAAGAAGTGAAAATGCGAGTATTGTATTTCAGTGCTACCCACAGTGTCAAATATTTTAATACGAACTGAGAGGTTGAGGTCCACAAAACGTCCACATCGAGATTCAGTCTGGCCATTGTACTGTTTCTGTTGTTTGACTGTCTTAAACGCCTTTTATAAGTAAAAATGGTTTTGGTATTCATTTAGTAAGCCTAATAATAAAGTAATAAGTTTTAAGTAAGTATTTAGTTAGCCCAATACTCAAATAGGCCAGAACCTGTACAATGAGGGTCTGAATGGGGTTAAGTGTTTGGAGGGTTTTTCGAGGAAAACCCATAGGGTCCCATAGTCTTTTAGCACTGCAAATTCTTATCTGCTGTACAAAAATCGGTAATAAGATCACTCATGACCTTTGAGCCCGTGCTCAAAGCCTCTCAAAGGTTCTGTAATCTCTTTTTTCGACCCAGTGTGCAACAGTGTTCTGTCTATTCTGGGAAGCCTGGGTAGCACTGGGGAACTACCTCGTGCCAGGAGCCCACGATCCTTTGGTCAGCGTGGAAACATCATGGCGGAATGGCAGCATCGAAAATATAGTCGAAAATTTTCGGAATTCTCCTTGGAAAACTTCGGTAGTCTTCGGGCATCATTAGTAGTCTCTTTACATCTTCGATAGTCTTCGGAAATCTTCGGCTGTCTTCGGCTGTCTTCGTCGGAAAGTGGCCCTAACTCTAGACCTTAGGGTTAGAATGCACTTTTTTACGTCGAAAAGGCTCCCTCGCCAAAAAGGCAACTTCTTAATATACTGAACAAAATAACGTTGCCCTGTTTGGAGCCGTTTTTGTTTCCTTCTAGATAAATTTTACTGTTACAGAGAATTTTTTACTGCTAGTGTTAAAATGCCTAAAATTTAACTGTTCTGTGTTACAGAGCCAAAAATTTAAGTGTTTATTGTTATCGAGGTACCCCCATTCAGACCCTCTACAATGACTTGAACACAATTTAATGTTTACAAGTGATTGTCCTAGAGCCACTTCTCGCTGACCTGGGATTATTTATAGCCTTGAGATTATTTATAAACTCCTTCAGTAATCGCTTTTGTTAATATGTAAGCTTACCAAATTCGGGGTAATATCTCTTGTAGATGATAACATAAATTGAAGATACTTTCCCACTGTTTTACAGTCTGAATGTAATTTGAGTCTGACTGGATCGCGGATTCTCCTCGAAAGCTAACTCGAATATCAAATTAGACCATAAACAATAATTCCTGACTATGACTTGAACTCCAGCCGGGATAATTTATGCAAGTTCACGGAAAACGCCTACTCTCAGACTGACAAACGCACTTGTACTCTGGTCCATAAGTTGATAAACACTGAGCAGAGCTAGCAGAACTAACTATGAAACAAAAATGAACAACAACCAACCGGAAGCCATGATAGCCGTTCAAGAAGAGCGTATCAGGATTGGAGAAACTGAAGTGGCGAAGAAGACAGTGATAGGGACTACAGCCGACGGGTAAGTATGGGCGAGTACTCTAATACATGGTGCTCTGTTATATGTTTGCGATGCGGAAGTTCTCGACATCGCCGTAGCATTTTCGCTCTTGTTGCCAAGTACTTAAAATGGTTTAAAGAAATAGCTAAATTGAAACCCTGCGGGCAGTGTCTCTTCGACTCTCCTAGAAAAATCTTCTTCCTCTTCCCGATTTTTCTAGGAAGATCGAAGGTGACTCTGTTTGCAGGGTAGCTGAAGGCTGTTTCCTGAAATGAGCGAAAGGCGGCAGGGGTATTTTGCAGAACGCCGAACACCGAGCGCCAAATGCACTGTTTGCTTGCGGTTTAGTAGTTTCACTCATGTTTGCTTGCGGTTAGCTTTTGTTTGTTAAGGGCAGCATTATATTTCATATGGCCCTGTCCAACAAATAAAAGCTAACCGCAAGCAAACAGTGCATTCGGCATTCGGCATTCTGCAAATTACCCCTGCCGAGCGAAAGGCTAAAGTCGGTGCATGATTCGTTTGAAGTGTTCCAAAACCAAAACTGAACTCAATTCTACGGTTTACCTCAAGTATGGAAATCAATTTCACTGGTTTTGAATTTGTCTCAATTAACTACTTGAGAAGGTTGAGCAAAGAAAAATGCAAATCATTCTTTCTGCCTCCTGCTGAAAAAGTCTCACTGTCTGGTCGATTCACTTGTTATGCTTACTAAAATATACCACTTTGGTCAAAGTAACACTGATAGCAGTATACTATTGCGATTAAGAGATTGCGTTTATGTCTTAAACAGCGAGCTCGAGCGAACGGTTTGCAGTAGTTTCATGTCGTGTGTACCGACTGAACCGAAACATAATAAGTCACCGATACACGTCTTCTTAGAAAACTGGACTACAGCAAACTTGCAATATATCCTAGTAACAATTAGGCAATCTTTTCGTACATCAAGATCGTGGGATTTACTTCTCTACCAGACCAGCGAGATACCAACTTTTCGTGTTTATTAGCAAAGATATGTAAGGAATTTTTTGATAATCTTTTAGAATCCTCCCATAGCCCCAAGCTTTTTATAAAATTTTAGTTCTGAAAATCTGGTGGCATATCAATAAAATACCTGATTTCTCCGGTCTTATCTTCATATTGTGAAACACAAAGTCAGCAATGTGGTGGTTCGGGCGCAAGTAGACCAAAAGAGCTTATACAATAACAACAACAAGATTTATTTCTGCTCCCATTTCTCCGACCACATGCTTCGGTTTACCGCATCCCATAATAGACCAGTGATCATGTGACTGACACGTCACAACAGAAACACTACATCTCCCCCTAAGTTATTACAAATGTCAGCACTAGAGAAGAACTAAATGAACAGTATTACAAATCTAATTAATAGTCCTTAAAACAAACAGTCTCTCTCTTTATGTCTCCTGCACATTCTAAAACTAAGTGCATACGTAGTCTTTTAAATAGGCGGGTGGTTGTCTAGAGCGCGCAGGTCGCAAAACAACTGAATCGCCCGGCAAAGGGTTGGGTGGAGTCTCTTGCACCTCTGCTGGCTGGCTTGCAATTGTCATTGGATGCGTTTGTTCCACCTGGTCTGGCTCTTGGGGTAGTTGTGCTGGCTGTACCTGGTCTTCCTTTTCAGTGGTTTCAGGTGCAACAAATTTCTTCATGTGGGCTATGTTTCGCATTTTATTGNGGTTACAAATTATCACAATGAATGATGGCATTGTTTGTGTGATCATCATTTCTATTTTATCGATGCACTCTGACAATCCCAATCCTGTATGAATGCCTTTCAAACTGTAAAATTTAATTGGCTTAGCTACTTGTATACTATCACTGATCACAAACTAATTATAATCATTGACTAATCAGCAAGCATTCGCATACAGTGTATTTACAGGAAGAGTTTTTTGGCCAGCATATGTCCAAGTAGGTGTGCTCGGTGCCATATTTGCAAAGGTGCCTGTGGTCACACTCACTGCAACAGTAACTGAGCAAACAAAATGTTATACATCAAGTTCTCTTGGAATGGTGGATCCAGAAATCATTGCAGTGAACCCCAATGGGCAGAACAGTTTCTACACATGTTCGACACGACCACACACTGGTGATGACAAAATCAAAGTGTTGCTTCTTGACATTCTTCTGTACATAGTAAAACTACAAGTTATGAGAGAGAGGATGCCTCCTACAGTGATTTACTCCAATTTACGTACATTTATTGTGGGCATTGTACATTATATTGACAATATAATTGGAAAATTTGACCTCAAAACGGTATCCCCTGGTTGATGATTTTCTTAACTTGGCCTATCTACTTGAAAATGTGTTACTGCTACAGTAAGGAGAAATTATAGATTGACCACTTCTTCTTGAAAAGTGAAAATTTCATTGCTTAGTCCCTATTTTGTAAGTGATGAACACAATTGTATATTTTCTAATCCATTGTAAACTTTAAAACTTTATCCATAAGACTATTATTGTTTAAATTTCTTCAGTTACCATTTTTTAAAGTAACCATGAAATGAAAAAAATCAAGTCATTTATTTAGTAAAACTCAAATTGCTGCAAATTGTTTAAATGAGGCTTGGAGAAACGGACATATTTTTCTACCCCCAATGTTGGTAAAAGGTCTCTTTATTTTGGGGAATTGATTGCAAGTCTCTCACTGATTAGTTGTCAGGTGGTAAACACAAACAGAATATCTAAATGTCTGTTTTCAGTTGGACATATATCACAGTTGAGAATTTAATGTTTATTGGTTTATGCAGTGACAGATTTGTTTTGAAATTGATGTCTTGCTGAGAACTGGTTTTTAAAACCCTAATTTCACCTAAATCATTTAATTATACCTGACTGCATCAGTACATAACTGAAACATTATCCACTCATCATCATCATTAGTTCTGCTTTCCCGTTTGGAGATTGTGGTGAGCAAAGAAAAGTGGAAATCACTTATTGGTCTTCCCATAGTTCCTTCCCTTGATGCCAAAGCAAAAAAGTATGCGACAATTATTCGCAAAACAAAACCATTTACACACTGTTTTCCTTCAAGGGCAATACAGTAATATATTTTAGACATATTTTCTGAAGCACCAACCCTAAGCCTGCATTTGTAAACGGTTCCCACTTTTTAAAGTTGGGGAAGGCGCTGTAATGCAGTCGTGTTATTCTTGGGAGAAATAGGTCTAAAATGAGGGGGGATTTTTGTTGTGATGTTGATCGCCCCCAACGAAAAGACACATCCGACCACTTCCGACACTTTCGTGTTTCACTCTTTTTCGCCTCACTCGGCGAACGTGATTCTCCAACCTGTTGCGAGCCACAAACTCTTTTCACACAAGACCCTACGATCGACAATTCCTGCGAAGAAAGTGATGCCAGCTACAAAGAACGGAATTCTTTAATATTCTTCACCCTTCTGTACATGGTTCGCACAGTTTCGTTGGTAAATCATCGCCAAACTTAATTTCTTGCCCAGTTAAAAACTCGAGCACTTTTAAAATGTCTGGCTCCTTGCTGCTTTTCTCGCCGAAAATATCAACAGAGGTTTCTAAAAAACAAAAACCGTTTTGTTGCGACAGCAACAAGTGTTGAGCCGTGAGTTAAACAATATGGAGAACTGGGAAAATCCTCCATGTCCTCCATTTTAACTGGTCACAGCTGTTTCATATTTTCGCGCCAGCAATCCGCGC